GGATCCTCCAGTTTTTTTACATAGCATGAGCCTGGAGACTTCAGCAAAAAGTTCCCATATCCAGGAGAAAATTAGAGCATACTTTTGAGGAAGACAACTTATTCAAAATTTTCTAGCGGTATGCATCCATTGTGTCCCCTGCTTATTTTCACTGTTACTGGGGGAGTCACATTTCCATTCTGGCATTACCTAGTTTTCTTTCAACCCTCTTGTTATGTCAAGCATGGTAGAAAACTCGTCTTCTCCCCTGCCTCTTAAAGATGACCATTAAATCTCTGTAAAATGTATGTAAACCAGTTTAATCTAATGGCATAACCATTTTAGTGTAAATTGGACTAATGTGCCTAGCCAATGAGTGTAGCCAAACAGTCTAGATTACCAGGCTTGTCAAGGTGCTGCTTTTTTGGTGGTTCAGCAAGTTGCTGAGGAGTCAGAGCTCAGCCCCGCAATGCCAGTGTGGTGGTGTCCAGTGCCCTCCTGGGCTGTCTGCCTTCTGCTCCAGCTGTGCAGGGGTTTTGCCAGGGATTGAGAGACACAGGGGTTGAGGAGAGACATGTGTCCTTCCCTGCAGGAGAATATGCAGAGAAAGAGTTACTGGAGCTGAAGGGCTGTAACTCATTAGCTGCCATAATTCAATTTACTCTCTGAATTCTACTACAGTCTCCCCTGGGAAAAGGTGTGTTTTTAACCAAGTTGCCATTCTTTTGTAGACACATGAATTGTAATTTAATATCCATCAATTGCCTGGTGTAAGGTTCCTCACTTACAATTACTTAGAATGGATTAAATGAGTCCAAATAAATACTACCTTATCCCTATTGGGACTGTAATGCATTAAAAACATCTTTTATCTTGGCAAGGCAAAGGTTAACTTTAATTTATATAGTATTTCCCTTTAACAAAATGTGTGTATAGAAAAGACCAGTGCAAAGGAGTTCCTTGCCTATATAGACAGGAGAGTGTAAATGGTTTTTTATTCATAAAAACATAACAAACATCTAAAATGAAATGATGGTTACAAATGAATTAATGAACAAGTACTAAGAACAAATGTCAATGAACTGCAGAACTGATTTTTATGGCTCAGTCCCCAACTATCTTTAATTTTCTCCCTGCTGGAAATCACGTCCCCATAACAGAGCTGGCAGAAGAGATCGCGTGTCAATGCTTCAGCTGCTGCAGGGAAAGTCTGCTGTGGGAGCTGAGATTCCCTGTCTCTCCCCATGCAAGCTGGGCTGGCCAAGGCAAACACATCCTCCTTTCCTGCTTGCTCTGCTGCCAGAGAGGTAACCTCTGCAGAAGGTGAAACACACAGCTGGGGAAATACTGCAGGAACCACTAGAGTTCTGTGAAAACCTTTCTTTCCTGCATGCTGAAAAACATTTTCTGCAAGAAAAGGATATTTTTTCAGTGCATATTTACGTTAGATACTGTCCCCACACAAAAAGCTAGTGAAATTGCTAAATTAATTAACAAAATTTGGACTACTAACAGGGGGAACTGCTTTTAGTTCCTGAATTCAAAACACTTAAAAAATAGTCAGTATTTATATTTCAGCTGATGCTCTAGTGACAGAGATCTATGTTAAAGGCTCACCTTAGGCATAGCTTTAAAAATATAGCTCAGAGGTGAGGCAAGTCCTCCCTGCCTCTACCACAAGTCAAATATATATACTTTTTTCAATCTGAACTCATTTAAACACTATCATCTTATATATCATGATTAATGGTCAGGGATCCATCCTCTTCTGCATTCTTTGAAGAAACAGATGGGCATCATTTAAATCACGGCTTTTTCTGGAATTTTTCTTCAAACTTTATCTAATGCTTTATTTTAGTGCTGAGTAAAAAACCTTCAGCCTCGCTTCAGAGCACTATTATTCTGACCATGGTATTTGGACTATGACAGAAGCTTGTTTCATCCGCTCTTATTCCCTCTGTACTCTCTTCCTCCCTCCTCCCCATTAGCCCTGAGCTGCTTCACCCCCACTCACCTATTCCAGATCCCTGAGATTTTCTAGTCTTGCTCGTAGTATTTCTCTCATGCTTTTGAATCCTCTCAACATGTGGTCCTTAAAATCCAACTTGTATTCAGTGTCTCCCACCTTAGACTGAACCCTGCTGCTCTCCTGCATATAGGGGCTATGGAGAAGATCAGCACAGTCTAACATGGCAAAGTTTGTAATTCCTGCCTCTCAGCTGTCCTGGCCCATGTCAACCTGCCCACCTCGCCCTGACAGTGCTATGCTGCATTGTCTTACTGCCCACCAGCTGGAGCTGCCTGCCCGTGGTGGCAGGCAGGCTCTGCCCAGGGCAGAGGTGGTGAGATGAGGGAGCAATGCCCTCATGGGCACCATGAGCAGTGGCACTGCTGTGAAACCTGCTTTTGCTGGCCAGGGAAAAGATGGAGGCATCAGGATGCGTGATGGGGAGTGAGGGGGGCAGTTTGCCCTCCGAGAGATGGTATACGCTTTCAGAATATATATAAGCTTTGTTTGGGGCTTTCTTTTGTTATTTTGAAATAACTGAACATCTATGTATTTTTTGTCTTCCAATTTGCATGTAGATGTACATACACCAGAAGTTGAACGCCGATAAAATCCCCAAAACTGGTGGTTTGATCATTTTATTCACTGTAAGCTCAAGGTATTTGTTAATGGTGTCAGCACTTTGACATTTTTCCCTTTCCAAGGTGTTGATTCACATTTTAGTGAATAAGGATATGGCAGGTAATGGAGGAATGGAGAAGGTTTCCCACCTCAGGGGATGCAGGCTGCCTTCTTAGGGGCTGGATTTTTCAAAGGAGCCGAGCACTCCTCTTCTAAAACTATAACCCTTGTCAGGTGTCTCAAATCAAAGGACCACCAAAAGAACTGTAGACTATTAATTTGTCTCAGTTTTTAATTAGGTGAAAATGCACTTTTGCCTTTTCCAGGCTGCGAGACTTTTGACTGTTTCCTTTGCATGTCTCTCAGTCTAAATGGCAAGAGTCAGGGATTGCTGCTACCAGCTGGAATGAGAACGACTTCTGGCAGCAATTTGCTGGTCCCTGAGGACTTGGGACATTTCCATGTCATTCTCCTCATCAGAGGAGTGTGGCATTAACAGCATAGATCTTCTCTCTGAGTCAGTGCAGTGGCTGACACTAGTTAATACTGGAGAAGGTATCAAAGTCACCCGATGGAATAATGTATTCAAAAAGAAAATTTCTTCTTAACTCCCTTCAGAAAGCCTGAAGTGGTGGCACCTGTATCTCTCTGTAGCTAAGGGACACGGAGGGGTGGCCCATGCACTTGCTCTGCATCAGGGGATTCCCCCTCGCTCCCTCCAAGCTTGTGCTCCTTGTCTCCTTCCCCTAAGCCCACATACCAGGGATGGGGTGGCCTCTGGGCCCCTTCAGGACTTACTGACAAGACCCAGGCTGTGGGTGGCAGTGAGGAGTGCTGTGATTCCTCTCTTTGAGGCAGCTGTAAATAATGTTGGATGCAGCTAATCCCTTGAGGCATGATGATGATTTGGGGATCAGATTTTATCTGCTGCTGTGCTTCCCATTTGTCTACTGGTGGGATTCTTTACAGGCACTTCCAGCTTCTATTATCCTCAGAGCTTTGTGTCAAATGCAAATATTGTTGTTAATTGCTATTTGCATTACAAGAGTGATTACATCTTGCTGTTCTTTAATTCCTGATTTATTGATGAGTATTTTCAACACTGATTTAGCATAGAGGCTTTGCCAAGGTGAAAATTGACTATTTGTTTTGTTATTTCGCCAGTGTCTAATCCATAGCAATTCTTCACCACTTGCCCAACGACTACCCAATTTTCTTCTTAGTGTCTATGAGGGATTTATTGAAGGCTTGAAATTCCCCATACAAGAAAAGAAACTGCATTACTTTGTTCAATCTCTTGTTGATACATACAAAACTTGGATCTGTGAAGACATTTTAGGTAGCTTAATTCATTTTGTCACATTGTTTATCCAGGTGTGCCCTCATTAAATTTGCTGTCTCCCGCTTTGAACCACAGTCCACACCACCTTGCTGCCTTCGTTAGGTGTGAAAGAGTAAAGTACCTACAAGTGTCCATATATATAGGCACTTCCATATTGACTGTTCTGGGTTAATCCTCATGTGGTCACTCTTAGCATTTAAGAATAATTATACTGAAGTAAGTATTATGGAATAGACTTTAAAGCACTTTTGTCTCAGGGGTTTTTCTACATGAAAAAGTCATATAGATAGGACAAGAGTTTAAAATTAGTTTATTCTGTGGGCACAGGGCTGCCTCCACTCACTTCAGTTTGCCACTTGGGAAGCAATTTTCAAGCTATCTGAAAAGGTTTAAAACACTCCTATTCTGCTCACATGGGAGAGTTAGACCAGAAGAGCTAATAGTTAACTGTATCAGTGTAATTAAATATACTGGCACAGAAAAAGCTTCCTGTCAGACCAAATCCTAAATTTTGTGCTACCAAAAAAAATCCCCCTGAACCCAAGATATCCATGTGTCTAGGCTTGTTTAATTAAATGGTATTTAAGATAAAAGTAATTTTTAGACTAAAATCTCCAAAGATTTTAAAGGGAGCATTTTACCAATGCAAACTTGCCTTTGTATTCGGGTAAAGGCTTATATTCACTTTTCTCTCCTGCCAGTGTTACCTCCTCAAGATGGTAAAGGCTACTAAAATGGGAATTTTGTGCATCCATCCTTTTCCTAGTATTGAGCAATTCTTATGACATTTTGTAGTTTGCTGATAGACTGCAGAGAAGCCAGATGCTTTATGTCTTTTCTACACTGCTATTGTCAGATTCTTACAACTGAATGAATACAGCATGAGAGCACAAAAACATAAGTCTCTGCTATGCATTCACCTGTGCTAAATTTGATCTAGGTCTCCAGAAAGAGACAGAAACTCTAGATGTTGCATGTCTGGGCTGAGATCATGTGTTTCCTTCAAAATTCACTGATAAAAACAGTAATGATGTGCTTTGAATTTTTTAGGGGTGTTTCCACATTTTCAATGACCTTTTCAGCCGAAGTGCCATGGCGAGGCCATTTATACCACCCTCTTCCATAAAGATGTAGTGCTACAGCAACTGTGATCTTCCTGTACTTTGCAAGGGAGAAGACAGCAGCAGAAGATGAGGATCCACTTTGCAAAGGCTTTCATGGTTGTGAAACTGAAGGAACTTGAGTTTAAACCTTCTGTGAATGACTTTTCCAGAGGTACTGTATTCCAGTAAAATCCACTGCCTTGTTTTTTCATAGGCTGTGTAATCAAATATAATGACATCTATGATAATTTGAAAGTTCTGATGTGCTCAAAAGTGGGGAGAAAGCATGTTAGAGCTTCTCAGCATGTCAATGAGTGACCCCACCACCAAACAGCTGTTATTTGATGATGTGCTGTGGAAAAGCCAGATAATTTATGTCCTTTCTATCCGAAATTGTTACACTCCTTTACATACATCTCTCTTGAGTCTCCCAATGGCATACAAAGCCCAGAGAAATTACAGTAAAATCAGCCATCCATCCATCAGCTCAGGCAAATAAATTTACTAGTTTAGTCTTTGTTTGCTTTTGCCTTTTGGTTTTTTCTTTCTTAAATAGAGGAACTGTTAACTCAGTGCTCTGTGATAGTTTAATCTCACTGTAGTGAAGAGCTGTGGTATCACACCTATCCCCATTCTTTTCAATCTTCATATTAAATCTCCTACACACACCCCAAGCATGAGGGAGAAGATAGACTGTACATTGCCATCCTTCCTAATGCTCTTCCTCATTGTCAGTTTTCTTCCACTCTTAATTCTCCCTCAAGGGTCTAATGATATGACAAGTTTTTCCTGTACACTGAGTCCTTTCCAAAGACCAGCTTCTCTGTCCCAATATTTGCTTCTCTCATTACACTAAGCTTCAGCTGTCTGATATCCCTGGAAATGACACTTTCTATTAACACATAAAAGGAAAAAAAAAAGAAAAAAAAGTGGGGTACTGGTGGCTTACCTGTCATTATGACTTTGACAAAGAAAACTACAAATCAAAGAGATTTTAGTACTTGGATTGGCTATTTTAGGGGTGATATGGTTTGAAGCTGGCTCCCTGCCAAGTCTCCAAACCCTACCAGAAGAGTTCCCCCCCCCTCCAAACCTCAGGGAGAAGAGGGAGAAAAAACAACCAAGAAAACGCGAAACGAGAGAGAGACAGCTAAAGTGATATATATATATATAAATATATTTACACCTATGTTACACTTATATACAATTAAAATATATACAATTTCCCAAGGGAAAGGGAAGGGGGAAGGGAAAAGGAACAAAACCAAAATAAAATATATATATATATATATATATATATATATATCCCGATTAGTGGCCCGAGATCTAGTAACTAAAAGAGTTAGCAAGGAAATATCTCACACTTTCCTTGGGACAACCGAGAGTCGCTCTGGAACGATCGCCGGCAACCTCCGTCTCCCAAGGTCGGCAAGGCCTAACCAGGCCTCGCTCCCCAACACGGCAGACCCGACAGCAGGGAACCTGCACCTCCAAGCCACCGGAAGGAAAGAGAGCGAAGGCCTCTCCTCCTTTCTTCTTATAATCTGGCTTACATAAAAATCGTAGGGAATACTGGGTAAATCTGGACCCTTCCTTGGTTACAAACTGGTCACCAAGGAAGGCCTAGCCCAAACCACCACAAGGGGTTAAGCGGACATCGGAACACTACATTTGGGGAATAATTTGGACTCATCACTATGTTTTATAAGTAGAATGAAGGCAAAGCATGAAACTATGTTTGATTGCCCACTTGCTTGTCCATCTGCATGACATATACCTGCCAAAGCAGGGCAGAATGCTGCCATTTCACTTTTTCACCTGTTAACATGTGGGTGATATTTGGGGCTACAGCTAATTAAGAAATTCTTGCAGAACAGATTTTCTGAGAGACAGTGCTGAGTCAACAAAGTTGGAAGGTTTCACAAGGGATATTTATGCATGTATGTATCTCTAATCCAGTCTCACAGGAAGTTATTAAAATGTTTGGTTCCAAAAGGTCAGTGTATTCTGTGTTTGATATAATTTCTTATATGGAAATTGAAATAGTAAGGCAGAAGCAAATATTCTTATCTTTTATGAAAAACCTTCTTTGAATGCTATTTTTTTACAGAATATTGCCTTTTTCTCCATATTTCTCAGTCTCAGAATATCCAGGCTTTGCCCAAGCCCAGAAAGGTCAGTTTCAGGAAGTTCTTTTGGTGTCACTATTCAACCATCCAAGTTCTGTTCAAGTTTCTATGCCTTTGTAGGAAAAATGGAAAGATAATATCAAGTCTGTCTGTATGTATAGACATTGCATGTGTAGACAGGACAAGAAGTAATGGCCATAAACTATAACACAAGAAGTTCTGCCTCAACATGAGGAAGAACTTTACACTAAGGGTGGCAGAGTATTGGAACAGGCTGCCCTGGTCATGAAGTCTCCCTCTCTGGAGGCATTCAAAACCCACCTGGGCATGTTCCTGTGTCACCTACTCGAGGTGACCCTGTCTTGGTGGGAGAGTTGGACTGGATGATTTCCAGAGGTCCCTTCCAACCCTAACGATCCTGTGATCATGTGTGCCATTAACTCTACTGCTGGAAACATTACTCCAGTTTATAAAATCTATTCTTTAGAACTTTCATTACTTCTGTGAGCACACATCTTCCTTGGAAATTGTTTCTTTCTTGCCCATGAGCTCTTTCTGTTCTTTATTTTTTCACGCCTCTTCAAGACATTAAATGAATGATACTAATATTTGTCACAAAAAGCTGTAAACCTTTCTGAAGTATTAAAATACACCGAAACCTGACAAAGCTTCCATCACAACTTGCTAAACTGGGTGACCATGCAGAAAATAATCAAATTATAACATTTTATTCAAACTACATTGTATTTTACTACACAAAAAAAATTAGTGTGGTAAACACACTTAACAGAGAAACAAAATAGATTACATTATTTCCTTTGACAAAAGCCCTGATGTAAATGGAATTTATTGGAATTCTCGAAACGACAAAAAGAATTTAACAGTGATAATTTCTTTAATGCTTACTTTGAAGCCACTGGCAAAATATAGTGACTCCACTTATGGCTGATTTCATCCAAGTCATTGTTGTTCCTGAAGTGGGAGCTATTTTCTAAATAAAATCTATATTATCTGCGTATCACAGGCCCTTCTGGAGGTTTGAAGCTAGAAGGAACCAATAAGATCTGCATTATACAATACCTACAATGTCACAGATGAACTTCTGCAGCTGTTGACACACCAGTACTGCTTGTCTGCAGCTCCAAGCTGCTCCATTACTGCATTTCACTAAAGGCATCTCAGGTGAAAACTGGGAATAAGGTCAGGAACACCACTAATTTTGTAGGTTTGTTTCCAATCAGTCTTCTCCCAGGAGTGCATTGCTTGTCTTCCCGTGCCACCGGGGGAAGCATGTCTGCCCCTGAGCAGGTGCCCAGGCTGCTGGGTACAGGCTGGTACATGACTGGTGTGTGCTGGTGCATTGGGGCACATGGCTGGAGCTGGCATCTGCCCTGCTCCTGTATGGCAGGACTGACTTGAGAAACAGGCACTTAAAAAAGGAGTTTGTGAGTCTTGGCATTGGTAAATCATCCAAATTTGGCCATTCATTTAAAGATATGTATTTTATTGTTCTGTAGGAAAACTGTCAGGCAACTGATTCTCATCAGTGAAAAGCAACCTGCTGCATTTTTTCCTTTATTTTATCCTTGGAATTCAACTGGCATTATATTTCTCTGCATTTCTTTCTTTGTTTCCAGTTCTGGAAAGTGTCCTTACCTAGCAAACTATTCAAGAAAAGGACCCTTACAGCCTTTTGTTAGGACAAAGATGTTGATATATTTGGACGGTTCCAGTGAGATCTGGGTGTGTGTACATTGCAAAACTAGCAAAGTCACACCCTGTAAAATAAATTAGTTATATCAGTGGAAAGGAGGGATAATTATGTTAATACTGGAAGCAACTGCCCGTGTAGCTGCTTCAGTCAAATACCCCAGCTCTACCAGTACCCCTTTCTCGCTCTGCCGCAGACTCTTCTCACTGATGGTCGTCAATCACGGAAGGTACGTGGTGAAGGTACGTGGTGAACGTCTCTTCTTTCCCAGGAAAAAGGGATTTAAGAATATGTATGGTGCTTTTCTGAATTATAGTCTCTGCTTTTAAATATATATGAATGATCAGTTTAACATGGGAATTTGCATTTCTCAGCCCTCAGCTGGAGCCCTGTCTTTAAATTCAAGGTGTTATCCCTAGAACAGCAACATTTTTCTTCCTTGATTGCACCCTACCTGATGTTCCTGCAGGCATGTTTCAGAATACTAGTCATCAGGATTTGCATATCTATTTTAGCTCTCTTAAATTGTGTCTTTACAACAATGCAATGACAGAATTTTTCATCCCAAATGACGTTCTGTTTCTGGAGGGTCAGTGCTTTGTGTTTTTTGTTTGAAATAGCACAAGAGGTACAGCTAAGGGCAGGGGATGAAAAATTGCTAGATCTTACAATCATCATCAGGACCCTCCACAAAGGAACAATGGCAATAATAACAAACATATTCATCTGTGAAATCCATAGGATTTGACTAAAAACTGCTTTCCTATCTCTTTAAATAAATACTTAATATTCTGTTTAAAGTTTAGCAACAACAACATTTAGGAATCACCATGTTACTCTGATTCAGTATGAGCTTGCCTAATAGATTATTCTGTCCCTGACAGCAGTCAATACTGGCTGTTTCAGAAGAAGGTACAAGGAACACATTAATGATCAATTATGGAAAAATCTGCCTTTTGGGCAGCAATTCACAATTTTTATACATTAGTCACTTTTTGCAAAAAGGATAATACTGGGTGTACCAAACCACTACATGCAGATATGAATAATGGGTTTTCTGCCTTCTCTTATAAATGTTCTTTGAGCAGTCTAATAGTTTAAAAGTCAAGGTGGTCCATAATTAAATAAATTATGATCCATTGGGTATTTCTTGGGTTCTTTCTCTTTTTTTTACTTTTCAGGGGTTGCTAAGGTGAAGGGAGCTTCCCAGCTATTGCGTAAATGATACTTCAGAGTTCCCTTCCTCTAGCAAGAGAGAACCTGAAAGAATAATTCTGGGATTACACTGTTTAGGACCCCGAAGAACAACTCAGAGATGCATGTCTTGCTCCCATCTTTGCCAGCTTCAGTTCATTTTTGTGGCCTTTGCAGAAGGCTGCATTCCTCACTTTGAGAAATCTTGCAGAATGAGGTGGTTCTTCCAGACCCTGAGTTCCATGTTTTGTGTGTTTACATCCATGCATTGTAAGTGACTAAACAGAAATCTTGTGATTGCAGAAGTGTGAGTTAATAATATTCCTTGATAATTTCTGTTTGGAAAAATGGCCGTGTGCCTTAACCTAACAAAACCTTTTGTCCTTCTTGAATTCTGATCATGCTACTATTAGGGCATTTTTTTAACCTACTGAATAAAAGGCTATTTAAAATTTTATTTTGTAGGGTTTTTTAAATTCTATATCTAAAAGATTTTTGAGCTGACTCAGATTGATTTTTTTGGGATTGGTAAAGAGACCATGTAGGAAACTTTTCAGATTTAAACAGATTTTAATATAGAAAGAGTGTAGAAGAAATAAGATTTTTCAATGATTTTCACGTGTCCCTTGCTGGAGTATCTTGCTGAGAAATAACTGGGAGTTCACTTCCTCTTAGGGGTTTTGCACATCTGAAAAATCCTGAGCTTTGAAACAGAAGGGAGAGAAGAGAAATACAGAGTTAGATTTTCTGTCCTCTAGGGATAGTGTCTGACATGAATTAGACCTACTTAAGTTTTAGATCACATAACCTTTACTCATTTGCTTCTGATTTTGGGATATTTTTTATTGTCATATGATCTTAGTGCTGCACAGAGGTGTTGAAAAAGCTGTTCTGAGTCATTGCATCTGCTAACAGAAGTCAAACCAAAAAAAAGTCCCACCCAAGCACTAAATTCAGCACAGGAGTCACGGCTGGCTGGGTAGTCCTCTGCAGCTGGGGACGAGGCTGTGAGTCAGAGATCTGCAGGATTTAACCTCAGGG